ATAAGTTGGGGCAAAGGGGAAGGCTGAAGTCGGCCTGTGGATGGGATTACAAGGTGGAACCATACAATTTCTTCAAATGGGGTTTATGTGCTGGTTCCCTGGGGGAGTATCCCAGTGTTAGGTAAAACCCACTGGAGTGTTTCATGTGAGGAGGCAAATGTGAGTGCTGCGTAATGCTATTTAATGTATTTTATATGCAACTTTATAACAAACCTTTATAAGAAACTTTACTAGAAACTAAATTACTTTTGAAAACAACCATGTCAGCTCCACACCAAAAAAGCAGAGAAGACATCAGATTTCCCTATAGAGGCCCACCCTTAACGCGATCCAGTTCACCCAAAGTGCTGATGCTCGTCGTCCTTGCAGGAGTCCACATGTAACTTAGAGGCACTGTGGGAAGATTAGGAGCCACTGTGTCTCAGGTGCTGTGGATGACCTGGATGGAGTCCAAACAGGGCGATTTCTTATTTCTAGTTTTCCATATCAAACCATCAAAAAACTCTTAGAACTAATGAATCATTTCAGTAAAGCCACAAGGTACAAAATTAACACACAAAAATCAGTTGCCTTTCTATACATTAATAATGAAACATCAGAAAGAGACATTTTTTTAAATCCCATTTACAACTGCATCCAACAAAATACCTAGGAATAAACTGAATCAAGGCTGTGAAAGACCTGCATACTGAAAATTCTAAGACAACAGGGAAAGAAACTGAACAGACACAAATAAATGGAAGGATACCCTGTGCTCATGGACAGAAAGAATTAATATTGTTAAAATGCCCATTCTACCCAAAGCAGTGTTCAAATTCAAAGCAGGCATGTCAAATCACTGTGCCCTACACCAGAAAACAACGGAACATAGTGAATTGACAACACTTCAATAAAATAAAATAAACTTCAGTGGTATTTTTCACAGAAACAGAACAAATATTCCTAACATTCATGTGGAAACACAAAAGACCCTGAACTGCTAAAGAGATTCTACAGAAGGGAAACAGGCTGGAGGCATCTCCCTCCCTGGCTTCACATGGCATTACAAAAGCAGTCACAAAAGAATTGTGGAACTGGCACAACGACAGGGACAAGGACCAGAGAAAGTCTGCAAACAAACCTAC